TTAATTGTATTTTGAGGTTTTTCTGCTATTTTTTCTGCTATTTTTTGTTAACCGCTATTTTTTTTTGAGGTTTTATCCCTTTTTTTGGCTTTTTTTCACTTTTTTTTTCTCAAAAAAAGTATTTTTTATTTTTGCAGGAAAATAAAAGATAGCCGTGAAGCATATATCAGACGCTTAAATAGTATTTACGAATCGAATCTATCCAATGTGAGCAGCATTTTTTGCGACCGATTCAAAAATCGTCATACACTGTGAAATATATTATTTTAGGGCCCTCTTTTCTATTGAGATTTCTAAACAGCTGCAAAAAATCCTCTTTTCGGGCCAGTCTGAATCCAAGTGATTTGTCCCACATAAATTTTTCACCTTCTGTTTGAAGTGATCAATTATTTCCTGGCTTATGATTAACACTTACTGATGCTCAGCATCCTCCTGCCACCGGGAAAGTGAACAGCTTGTCGTGTTGCCTAACGAATCTTGCTTGCAAAATTTCCAAAAATCAAGGAAATTTGTCTTTTTTTTTTCTAAGCTGTTTGTAGCATCTATGTTGATTGGTGCCAAAGTAAAGGAAGTTTATAAACAGAGGGAAAAATAGTAGGAAAAAACAATTAAATTAAGACTTTCCGGTCCATCAAGTCATATGCGTCTTAGCTCAACACCACGACTGGACCTCGCCGGTATGGCGGTCGTAGTGTTCAGGGATCTAAATTTATACTTTTTTTTAAATGTCTGTACGAAAAAAGTTGTGTAAAGTTTTTTTTTTTTTTCAGTCTGGAGTTGATTTGATCCGTGGCAAAGCATCGTTCACGAAAGATGGAATTGTTGTTGTCGGGGGTAAAAGATATTTCGGCAAACACATTTTGTTAGCTGTCGGAGGGTAAGTGAAAAAAAAATATCAAGCTTTCTCTGTATAGAAACTGATATTTCAGTTTTTGATATTTCCCATGATTACAGATATCCGAATAAGCCATCGACAATTCCGGGTGCAGAATATGGCACTGATAGCGATGGTTTCTTCTATTTGGATAGTTTACCGAAGTAAGTTGAAGAAAATTTCGCACTCATTGTTTCATGATAGCGCCTGCACAGCCCTTACTGATCTTCCTGTTTTGCTGCTCCTGACTGTATTGGCCATTGTTTACAGTCCTCTTCATGGGCTGTTTATAGACGGATTTTAGAACGACTTTCTAGGTCCGCCTGGTGGACCACTGGGACTTGTTTCGGAATGACGGTATCCCAAATCAGTTTGACCCTGGTGTTCTCCCGCACCGCGGGTATCTGGTTTGTGTGGTGAATGGATGGGAAGCCGTAGTGCTGGCAAAGCTGAAAGTAGAGGTTTCTGGCAGCACTGCTATGCCTTTCAACATACAGGTTGCTCAGCCAGCGCGAACATCGGCTTGCGATGTGGTCGGCTGTTTCCTCTTCGCGCCCGCACATACGGCATTGGGTAGAGACACTTGGACCTGCGGTCCGAGTTATGGTGGTAGGGGCCCACGCTTTTCTTGATATGATGTTCACAGGGCCTTTACGGCCCATACTGCATTTCCTACTTTAACGCTTGTTTTACTTATTTGGATAATGTGGTTAGCTGTCAGTTTTTTGTGTTTTTTTATAAAAAGAATACATATAATAGTGTCTATTTTACATGTAATAGTTTGGCTAATTATGATTTTTTATCATCATTTATTTTTTGGTGCGATTAGCGTTGGAGCATGCAATTTGGAGTAGCACAAAGATAAGATTTTGAAGCATCGGCGAAGTTACGACCAGCCGAAGTAGAAAGGATAGAAAGAGCCATGAAGGTCAAACCAAGAAGTGATCATAGGAATGTCAGCGTTGTGATAGACAAGGGTTGGTAATAAAAACCTCAGTGCCACGAGTACCAGTATAAAGTGTGTGGGCCAGAAACTTCTTATGAAGTTGTGTGGTACCCGCGTACGAGCCTGCCAAATTTTTTTCCCGGGTGAGTTCGTAACTCGGGGATCTGAGCTGCTACAGACCTGAAATCTTCTGACAGCGTTCCCCATCCAAGTAGGTACTGGTGAGCTCAAACCCTCCCCCCGGGTAAGCGTGATACCCGCATGCTAGCGCACCAAAGTTATTCCCGGGTAAGTTCATAGCTTGAGATCTGAGATGCTAGAAGGCTGAAATCTTAGGGTAATGTTTCCCGTCCAAGTAGATACCAGTGAGCTCATGCCCCTACACCTTTAGATGTTAAGGGAAAAATGCACGGTTCAGGTGGAGCGGCGGCTGGACAGGATGAAATTGTAAAAGGTTTTTTGGGGCCTATGAAAAGCCTTTTGGTCTATGCTAAGGACTGAAAACGGGATTGAAAGTCTTGAAAATTTATTTTTTTTTTATAAAAAGTATTCGGGGGCAGTGTTTTTCAGGCGTACAGTGGTAGTAGGTGCAGGTTATATAGCTGTCGAGTTGTCATCCATGCTAGCGCTGTTAGGTTCCGATACTCATCTATTGATACGAAAAAATGCGGTTTTGCGTAATTTCGACCAAACACTGTCGGAATGCTTGACTGAAGCAATTGAGAAAGGCCCAACGAAACTGCATAAAAATACCCAGGTAAGCATTTCTCGGCTTATTTCAGTTACTCACGAATCTCCCTTTCAAAGCAGCTGACCATCCTTTCGTTATTGTTTTGGCAGGTATGGTTTTTGTGTATTTTGCAAGCAAAAAAGAGTGAAAATTGCCGCCGACATACGCTTATTCACAGGAAAGGGTAGAAAATTTTCCTCCTTTGTCCCGTATTTTACAGGCAGAGTGCCTCTATACAAATAGGAAAATATTTTGAAATTAGAAGACAAAAGCAAATATCATCAAGAAATTAGTAAAAGTTGTAAAATCTTGTAAAATATATTAATAAAATTTTATTATAAAATATTTTGTCAATTTTAGCAGCTTTGATTTGTTCCCTTTTGAAATTCTGACTTTTTCCCCCGGGAGCCGACCCACTCCCTTTCCTCCGCCTGACTTGTTATTCGGGCCCGTCCCCAACCGGTTCTTCTGGCTAATTGCCTCTTGTTGAAATTCAATCTTTCATTTTCACGTGGCTTGTTACTTTAATTCTCTGTTTCTCCATAATTCTTAAAATATTTTCGGGAGGAGATTTTTTTTTGCTTGTAAAATATTTTCAGATATTGCTCTTGATGATCCTGGGTCATATTGCCCTGTGATCGTCCCTTAGTTTAATGAGGAATATGTGACATTTTCTCACATTTTGTAGGTTGAACTTCTGCTTTCATCATTTTATCTAAAAATAATTGGGGGGGGGG